TTCCTTTTATTCATTTGACATTTTAGACATTTTCTCACATAATTGGCTACGTCTTTGGACATGCATTTCCATCGATAACGTGCTCTTAGTTTCTTCTGGCCGCAGTGACCTCCTGTGGCCGGGTCATCATGTAGTTTATGTATTAGTCTTGATTTTTCTTCATTATTTGTAATTACTTGAGGATCCTTGTATAATATAATAGTTAAATTTTTTAGATGCCTGCGTCCCATTTCTTTTAACTCATTTATTGTGCACTTTTTAAATATTTCATCATTAATTTTCAATTTTATAGCTTTAAAATTTTGATCGCCAGCCATACATTCAAGCTTAGACAGTATTTCCTCTAAAGGAAATTTGCCGTTAGTGATCAATATCTTTTTTTCAGCGCTGAATTGACTTTTTATTCCTACCATTATCCTAAGATAATTAGTCTTAATTTCAAATGTCAAAATTGGAATTTTTAGTAAATCGCAATTATCTAATATTTCATAAACTTTTGGGACAATTAATGCGGTTTCTTCTCTTTTTGGTTTATCTGTAGTAACTTGATTTTTAATCATGGACCTTGTGACGGCTAAGATATGTGCAGACTCGCTTGAAATATCCTTCAATTCCTCTATGTTAATTCTTGACAAAGCATCTGCACCTACATTATCTTTGCCTTTGATATATTCCACTTCGAAATCATATTCTTCCAGATCAAGGCGCATTCATGTTAATTTTGATGACGGATTTTTCATGGAAAATAAATATACAAGAGGTTTGTGATCTGATTTCACCAAAAACCTATTTCCATATAAATACGGTCTAAAATAATTAATAGCCCAATGAATCGCCGCTAATTCTTTTTCTATTGTTGCTTTATTTGATTCGCCCTTTGTAAACCCTCGTGACGCGTACGCAATAGGTAAGTCCTGGCCTTCGAAATTTTGTGATAGAACTGCCCCACAAGCCTCTTTTGACGCGTCTGTAGTTAAAATAAATTGCTTACTGAAGTCTGGGTATTGCAGTATTTGTGGATCTATAAGTGCTGTTTTTAATTTATCAAAAGAATTTTGACATTTGTTACACCACTCGAACTTAGCATTTTTTCTTGTTAAATTATTTAATGGCTTAGATATTTCCGCAAACTGAGGAATAAACCTTCGGTAATAGTTGCAAAACGCAATGAAACGTTTCACTCCATCAGCATCCGTCGGTTTAGGGTATTTCTTTATGATTTCATACTTTGCATCGTCTGGTAAAATTCCTTTATTTGTAATTTTGTGTCCTAGATATGAAACATGTTGTTGGAAAAATGTGCATTTTTCGGGATTTAGTTTTAAACTATATTTTCTGCACACTTCGAAAACACTTTTAAGATTTTGTAAGTGGTGATTTTTGGAACACCCTATGACAATAATATCGTCCATATATAAAAATGCTTTTTCAGGTGTGATGCCCGCAAATGCAATACTCATCATTCTTTGAAAGCTTACTTTTAGACCAAATGGCAACCTTGTGAATCTGTATGTTCCAGTATCTGTGCTAAAAGTTGTAATGTCCCGAGAATCTTCTTCGAGGGGTATTTGATGAAAGCCTGCCTTTAAATCTAGCGTTGAAAACCATTTTGCTCTGCCCAATTGGTCCAGAATATCATCTATTCTAGGCAAAGGGAATTTGTCGGCCACAAGCTTACTCTGATTTATGGCTCTAAAATCTATACAAAGTCTCCATGCCTTTTTGCCATTGGTTGATTTTTTAGGAACAAGTAAAATAGGACTATTATATTCCGCTGACGACGGCTCAATAATACCATTTTCAAGCATTTTGTTTACTTGATCCGTTATCTCCGCTTTCTGTGCATGTGGAATTCTATAGTTCTTAACAAATATTGGATTCGGATCGGTTAATTTAAATTTTTGTTTATAAAAATTGTTTGTCGTCAGTTTATCCGAACTTAAGGCAAATATATCTGAAAATTTCGTGCAAAGAGCAATCATTTCTTCTTTAGCTATTTCCGGAATATTTTGATTTAGCTCTTGCAAAAGAGTAGCTTCTCTACCTCCTGTTTTAGTTTCTATATTATAAATGGAATAATTGCTCAAGTTTTCTGTTTCAATTGCAACATTTCTTATAGTGACACTTTCGAGTGTTGTATTTAATATTTTAACAAATGGACTGGAATGGGAAGCAATCGACGAAGCTATAAAAACTCCGGGAGCTACTTCTTTGTTCAAAATTACAAAAGCCTCTTTTGTTTTTTCCCAACTGGTAACTTTTCGTACAACCTCACATCTTGGTGGGACCATCAATGTATTTTCCTCTGGGCCGTTGTAAATTGGTAATTTTAGGTATTTGTTTCCCAATTTTAGGGTCACTGTCCAATTATCGTAATTTAATTGACACTGATACTTAGTAATGAAATCTCTGCCCAATATTCCATCTGAAGGGATAGGAAAATTTTCATCAACAATATGGAATGTATGATTTAAAGCATAGTTTTGAACAAAAAGTTGTGTTTCGGTGGTTCCTAATGAAGATGCTAATCCCTCTGTAACACCTTTAATTTTTATTGCACTCTGTCTGTCTACCAGTTGTCCTTGATTTATCTTGCTCCTTTTACAAAGTGATATGTCCGCACCTGTGTCGACTAAAAGTACAATTTCTTCGTTCCCAGTCATTCCACTTCCAATAACTACAAAATTCGAAAGTGACAGGTCCAAATTAAAAATATTCACGACCTCCTTGCTGGACCTAGTTGGAGGTCTTGCTGGTTTTCCGAACTGTCTTCATTGAGCATCCTTATATTCCGAGTGTTTTGCCCTCTGTGGCTTTGGGTTCCTCGACCGCCTCTATAATTTTGGTTTTGGTAGCCGCCTCTGTAGCTGCGGTTCTGGTAGCCACCACGGCTGTAATTTGCTTGGTAGTCATTTTGATTTCTGTAGTTTGAGCTTTGATGGTAATTGGAATTGGAGCAATTAGCTCTTCCTCGATAAAAGCTTCTATTTCCGCCTCTTGTGTTGTAATTTCTGGCAAATAGAACTGTTGAGCTAGCTGCATCTGCACTAATATTCACAAATTTTGATAATGCCTCTTGACAGCTGTTAAACGTACCGGCTTCCATTATAATCTTAACTTTGTCTGAGTTGCTATTTATTTTTAATGATTTTACTGTTACGTTTGTAGCGTAAGACTCAGCTACTGGCACAGGGACTCCTTCGTTGATGTAAGCCCTTTTCAAATTTTGTGCAAGAACTTCTACTTCTGAAGCATACTTTGAAGCATCCTTGTTATGCTGCCTCAAGGAAAGAAGTTTCGCCGAAACCATCTGCGAGTTTTCCACTTGAACTCCAGCTCTCAGTTTTACAATAATATTTGCCAGTGAATCACCATCGGAAATTAAATACCGTGCTTTTCCAGTATGCCTTGTTTTCACATATGCCACTGCATTTTCCTCATGATTTTCGGCATTGGCTTGAAGTAACTGTAAAGCATCTAAAAATGATTGTAATTTATCAGCTGTACCATCAAACTCATTGGGCAAAACTTTGCTTGCAAAATTGAAAAATTCAATTTTTGACATCGCCATTATTTTTACTAAATCAGTTTTGTTTTCGTCTAAATCTGAAAAATTGTCGTCTGAATTGTCTTGTTCGCCTTCTTCAGAATCTTCGTCTAGTATATTAGGATTAATGCATTTTAGGCACGAAGACGGAACCTGATATGACACTTTAAGAACCAAGTAAGACTTGATAACTTTATCCCTGACGGAAGAAAAGAGCTTCTTTACCTGATTTAGTTGTTCAACTGTTAAACTAGAATATATTGAACAAATAAATTTAATGAGTTTATTATATTCTTCTAAAATGTTATCTCTTATTTCAACTTTAATGCTTTCAGTTTTAGGAACACGTTTTTTCAAAACGCGCTTTGTTTCGTTAGTAATGTTCAATTTAAAATTTGATAACTTGGCTAAGGTATTTTCCCAAGTCAAAGACATTTAAATCATTACCTACCTATAAAATTAGAACCCATATAGATTATGCCCTAATACGATTTTACCAAATACTAATGATGCTAGAAGAAAATATAAATATATTAATTATTAGGATATCAGTTACCAGTAATTTTGGTTGCCAACTAATTATAAGTTACATTTTTCAGCACTAAATAAATGCAAAGGAAAATTTCTGGTAACTCTTTTTTTTTTTTTAGGCTATTTATCCCCATCAAATGGGATTATTGGTAGCAAATTTATATATAAACGTTTCCGCTGAAATTAAAATTAAAATAAAAAATAAAATAAAAATTATGTATTGTCATTGGCACTTTTGAATGAAATACTAAAAACCACTGTGCTGAAATAGTAAAAATCACATACCAGTTCCAAGTCTCTTTTTACTACCAAATTACTGAAGTTTGGTCTACTTGTCTTCTTGTCTTGCCAACGGTGATGCAAATAATTTTTGCTTTAAACGTCTCCAGCCTGCATTGCGGTTACTCTCAACATCCTGCTTCGAGATAAATCCCTTTTCAAGCCTCTGCGATAGGCTTTGCGTATTTTTAGCGCCACCAGGACCAATACTGCCACAGTGATAATATATAAAATTACCTTGATATCTGTTGGTGCTTGAATAGTTTCCTGCTCGACGATAAAATTGGAGTTTACCACGCCCGAGTCAGTAATTTCTGCATGCTTAGAACTTGACTTCCCCATGTTGCAGAATTATTTCACTTTTTTAAATATTAGGTCTTACTAACCATTAATTTAACTAATATTTCCACCACACTTAAGGCCCTAGGCAGGATCGCCATGTAATGACAGGATTGTCATCTAAGAATGCCAGGTCCTAAGCGAGGTTGTCGATGGCGTCCTCCACCTTCTGCTTCCACTCCTCTTCCTGGCGGTTGACCACCTTTTCGATGTCCATTTCAGGAGATTTCCTCTCTCTTATGATTTGGGATGATAAAAACTCCATTTGTAGGATTGCCACCTCTCCAAGATACTTGAGAAGGACCTTTGAGTCTTCATCCTTCAAGTTTTTAAGAGTGGATTGAGTCAATCTCTCCAATTGAGATGTATAATCATCTGAATTCTGATCATCTACTGACTCCTCCTCCTCAGAGTGCAGGGAAGCAGCCACACTCTTGTCACTTTGATGACTTTCCGATGGCTCCTGGTGCAAAGATTGTCTATCTATTGCCTCCTGTAAACTCACTGGGGCACAAGAACAGATATCTCCTTCACATACTATACACTCTCTGGAGGTCGATGACAGTGCTCCCTCGGGGTTTTCAGTAATATCCTTACCACTCATTTTAACAGACTTACCCTGTTTTTTCGATGTGGTATTTATTGCTCGGGCTATAAGGCTTCTGGGATTATTGTATTCCTCCACGTTGACTCTCTCACCTGGAAGTTGGTAGTGATCCAGGAACTGATTACCTAATTTTAGGATAAATTTATCAACTTGATTTGGGTCTGATTTACTCATATCGTGTGTACATACCACTTAAAATACTCCCCAAAAATGGGTGCGAAATCCCTCGAATGCACAATTCCTTGATCCTCCTACAGGGCAAATCTTCGCAATACGGACAGGGACCAATAATCCTCACTTCATATACCAGAAGAGCACGAGATTCCAGACAAAGACTTCCGGAAAATGGTCCACTATTCCTCAGAGAGCTGCTCTCCACCTCACTACTGAACTGAGACATGATGGCACCCCAAGAAAGGATTCGCCGGAAGTTCCCCTCAAATTCCACGAAAATTTGAATTCTAGAATCTCCCAGAATTATTTCGAATCCGCCGCACGTGGCGCACGTAAAAATGCATAAATAAAAACTCGGACAAACCAGAATCTCCCCTAAAGGGTGGCAGTGGCAGGAATACCCCCTCTCATCGACATTGTCAATTTGTACTCATGAAACACATGGTCACACCAAGTTTGACAGGTGGGATTACAGTTTCCTAGAAAGACCCAAAGAAAACACCTAAGTACGACTGGGTGCAACCGGGTACAACCGAGAGCAACCAGAGCAAGTCACTCACGACCAAATGAAAGCGTCAAGTGCCAGCAATTCAATGACAGTCCAAAGCACGTCCAAAGTCAGGTTAGCGGAACAACAACAAAACCATAACCAAAATAGGAATAAATATTCATTGAAACATAGTTACGCACTGAGCCATTAAAATAAAAGAACTTCGTGAGTATATATCGTGTTTTATTTGAACTTATGATATTTTTTTTAGGAACCGAATGAACTGTCTCAAGTTGGAAATATTAACGTTACAAATTGTTTGAAGAATGTCTATGTCGAAGACGCGATGACAAATCTCGGTGTTACGTTTCTTGGATATTTTGCAGAGTTCTGATATAATTATCGTAATGTTCTTCATCGTCAGCGTCTAGGGTGCCATAATAGATATGAATTGATATCCTTCGATATCGGTGTTTTCCCTTCTCGACGATTCTGGGTTTCGTAATAAAACGATACTTTTAACTAAACAAAATGGACTGTATTTTTGTTTCTACAAATTCTATGACATGGCCTGACTGGCTGACGGCTTGCTTGTCTCGTTCTGACCTTACCTTCCACATCTTCGTCTCTTTTCTACGATCCTTTCAGCTCTTTGGCGAGGTTGCCAAATTTCATAAAAAATATGAATACATATTTAAATTGTTATAAACTGTGTAACGAGCAAGATATTTATGTGCTTTTCCTATGATATTTATTAATCCTCTTTTAATTCGTTTCTGAGGCGTCATATAATTATTCAGAAATGATTCAATTATTTGTGCTTGGTCGAGAAGGTTATATATTCGTGTGAGATAAAGATGATAAAGGGGTGTATCTAGTTTTTCTACAGTTTTGTTTACTTGTAAAAGTGTTCTTTGTGTTAGTTCCAAACAATTCCTTAAATAAGTATGGTTAATATGACAATAAAAATGATGGTGACTAGTTATTAAATGTATAACTGATTCCTTGATAAATTGGCATAAATGGATTTATTAATTTTTCAATCTTGTACTGCGCGTTGAACATTGGAAGTACTAAGATGATTCTCACGAGTATGATATTCATTGTTTGAAAATTAGAAATGTCTGTTAACATTTTTAAGGTGTTTTTGACCTTTAAATGTTTTTAGTTTATACTTTGGTTCAAGTTTTTGTGTCAATTTTTGAGGTGGATTTAATAACTGTTTAGTAGCTTCAGGTATTTCTAGGACATTTTAACGGTTTAAAACATTGGATTTCTTCGCATTTAGTTTAGTAAGTTGATAGTTTCATTAAAATTTAAGTTGCTTGAAAGTTTCTGCTAATTTATATATACATATGATCCGTTTATATTTGATTCAAATTTTTCTCAAAATTTAATTGTTAATTGAGTTTACCTTTTAGTACCGTGAACCGGGGTTATATCGGATGATGTTTTCAATTATCTGGCGGTATAGCTTTTATTATAACAAATTAAAGCTAACTAATGCATCCTATAGTAAGAAGTTAACCTAGTTAACATATTTACATAAACAATTTTTTGAAAAATTGTCACGATTATTGGTTTTTATTTTCTTAAAGTGCGTCCGATATAACCCGGGGTTTGGGGTAATGTTGGACGATTCAATTTTTACATTGAAAAAGTGCGGGCTGAGCCTGGTATTCGATATTGGTTTGTCTAGAAACCTTTATCGGACATTTTATTAAAAAAAAAGACATGCAGGGAACAAGGTGTTGCAGTAGAAATGAAAGTAAAGGTGATATAATGGAAATAAACATCTTTATTCATAAAACATCTTGTAGGAACGTCAAAAAAATAAAAAATAAAATAATTGTTTTCAAGCATTTGAAAAAAAAAAACGAAATATTACATTCTGAAAACGCAAGTAGGCAGATATGCCCTTAATTCTGTAACTCCAGACCTTCAAACACATGGACGCCTCGATGGATTCTAGGCGCACTTAAAATACTGTGGACTTGTTGAAGTTTTATCTTGCTTTTGTCTTCAACTTCCGGAAAAACAAAGGAATCTTTGTGACCCTTATAAGATCTAAGGCAGTTCACAGCAATATAGCTTTTTGCAACTTTTTCAATTTGCGCAACGAATTCTTTGGTAGTTTTTTTTTTGGTCCCTTCGTTGTACAAAAACTTAACTATAGCAAAACAGTCTTCTTGTAAGGTATCACTGGTTACTGGACGTTTAACGTTTGGTACTTCCGACGGAGAATCATCGTCCGACACTTCAGAAAAGAAGTCTTCGTGAACACTATCGTTTTCTGAAACGATCACAGAGCTTGTATCATTATCGTTCTGTTTAGATCCTTTTCCATTAATGACAACTTCTAGGGAGGAAGATAAACTTGACGTACCACCATTCACTGCACATAGATCTTCAAGACCCACCGATTTGCCAGCGGGCACGTTAATCTTCGTCTTACGTTTGGGTCTAGTCGCCGTTTGATCCAAAGGAATAACAATCGCGTTCATCACTTCTGTAAACGACGCTTTCATTTCGTCATCTGTGCCTCCTGCTGGTCGTTTCCGAATCCGTTTCAAAACTTGTTCTGGATCGAATGAAATTATGCCCGTTGCTCGGAAACCAGACACTATATCACTCGACAACCTTCCTCCATCCTCCGATTTTTCCAGAAGCTTCTTCAGCAGCGAAGGAAATACAGATTTCGGCACAACTCCTCTATGGGTCCGTTTCCATTCAGTCAGAATTTCTCGCCATACCCGCTTGAGCGGTCCAAACACTGCAACGTCCAAGGGCTGACATAACTGTGTCGAATTCTTCGGCAAAAATACAAACTGAATATTGTTTTCGGTGCAACTTTTGATGATGCGGTAAGAAAGATGGCTTGCCAGGTTGTCGCAAATAAGAACCTTCTTGTCTTCCTTTCGTCGCAGATAGGGAAGAGCTGTTCTGAGGAACCAGTCCTCAAAACATTGAGTATCGAACCATCCACTTAATGTTCTGTTATATAGCGTGTTTGCGAGACCACCTTCAATCCAGTCTGGGTAGAGGTTTGTACCTTTGTACACAACGTACGGAGGTAAACAAGTGCCATCTCCAGCCGCAGCAAACATAACAGAAGTTGATGTTTTAGAAAAATCCATTATCCTTCGCGCATGCTTTTCTCCGCGAGGAATAAAAACTAGTTTTTTTCCGGGATCATCTGTAAGGTTTGTTTCATCCATATTGACAATATTTTCAGGCGGAAACCCCTGGACTGTCTCGTTCAAGTGCTCAAAGTATTCCCTAATCGTATCTTCTGTGGTGTCAGCTTTAACTCGTTTAATGTTTTCGCAATTACGGAGTGATAACTCCTTGTGTCGCCCCATAAAGTGTTCAATCCAGTCATCACCAGGTCTATTATCGTTGAAACATTGTATATGAACGCCTTTACTGTTCAAATAATGGCGCACGAACTCCTTGATTGCTTGCCTTTCAAAAGGATAACCAAATTTTCCTGCAGTGGTCATGGCATATACTATCCAACGCTCTTCAGTCACTGACAAAATTGGAGGCCTCCCGAGTTTGTCAGAATGCTGACCTCCGTAAATATCGTAAAGGGTGCTTTTTGGTACCCCATGCATTTCTGTTGCCTGTTTGAAAGAATAATGATCGTTTAACACGGCCAACAATGCCCTTTCTATGCTTTCTTGGGAATAATTGCGCCGATAGGGCGTTCCTAGCTTATGACGGTGTTTTCGTGGCATGTCCGGTATTACCCCTGAAAAACACAGTTTCTGTTAATTTCGATTTTTTGTGAAAACGGAGGACGCAAAATTAAGTTTGATGTTATGGGGGTCTTGAAAACAACTATTAATCCCATTGCACCACGTAGTTATCATGCACAGGATTCACAGGCCAGAGGACACTATTTGGCTCTCTGAATTTTAGCGAAAAAGTGACTCTAATAATTAATTTTTTGTGAGCTTACCTTGATTTTCCGATCTATCAAGAAACACATGCACGACTGGTAGCCAATCGGTCAATCCAGGAATATTTTTGTTTATTAACCGAAATGTCACCTAACAGCTGTATCACGCACAATTTGACATATTACCGCTGCGTTCGATAATACCCCGGCGCTCCGATATAACCCCAGTTGACGGTATTTGGAATCGTATATAATCATGCAAAGAATGTATGCTATTATTAAAATTCAATATAGCAATATCAATTAATTCCTAGATAGTTTTGGAACGATGTTTTTTCCTAAGAGCTACAAGGCTTTACTTTAACATTGAATGGAATCTTTCAATGGGTGAATTCGATTATAAGGTGTAACAAAATGTAACTCAATCAGGTTTTACAAAGATCTTGAATTAAATTCCTTTCAAATGCTGCAGCATTATCAGTAGTAATTTTACTAGCTGTTCCGTGGTGTAAGAAGGGTTTAATCAAATTTTGACAAATCCCAATAGAGCTTTCGTTAATGTTTTATTTGTAATAGGACCTATACGGGTGATTCAAAAGTAAGCGG